TCTCTTTTCCTATAATGTAGATAATATCGTTTGTATAGAAAAAATATATATCTCTTGTATTGTAAAATAGGATATTTGTCTTTCAAACTAGTTACTTTTCCAATTTAATTTTGGTTTATTGAGGTTTGGTTGGGTTGACAAGGGAAGTTAGTCTTTTTTAATGTAGTGTTTATTGTGAATTTCATGGGAGATCATGGGAGATCATGGGAGATGGCCCATTGAGTAAAATGCTCTGCTTTGCATGTTATAGTTTTGGCCCATATTGCTCCAACATGATGGGAAGACACACACACTTTGCTCCACCACATCAAGGGAAAATAATATCGTAACTATACATCATTTCTTTTCACCCTACATACTCTATTTATTTCTAGTCATCAAATTAAATAAAGATAACATATAAGATTAAATAAGAGTCGGTAAGACATCAAGTTATTGTTGAAGAAATCAAGAGTTTGGTAGCCTCTTTTGATTCCATTTCCTGATCTCACATTTTTAGAGAAGCAAATTTTCTTGCAAATGCAATTACTAGTGCCAAGTTTCATTTTAATGATCTTCACATTTGGGATAAATCGTTACCCATTGTAGCTCACAAGGCCTATTTATTTGATTGTATGAGAACTGGCTGTAACCATCATCATTTTCTTTAACATATGCCTTTCTTTCATAACAAAAAAAAAAAAGTGTAAGAGAAAAAATAGTGTGTACTGCTTGATTATCATTCTCGTAATATATTGTAGGTGAGTATAATACAACAAACCACTTATAAAATTATAACTACTTATTCAACATATGCAACAAACACTAATTGATTCTTTATATGTTAAAAATAATTCTTTTTCACAGTCGTACAACATATACAACGTAATTTTGAAATTATTAAAACAAATATTTTTGCAAGACATGTTAAACTATAGTTTCACTTGAGTGACTTATCGTAAATAAAGAATCGAGAAATGATTTGCACACTTTTTTCCTTTACACATGTGTGCCAAGTATTTTCCATACCCAACTCCAATGAACCTTCCTACTAGACCTGACAATTTCTTACACGACCCGTTAACACGACACGTAAACGACACGAAAATAACGGGTTTCGGGTCAACACGATAACTAATCGGGTCATTATCGGGTCACACGATAATAACCCGTTAATAACGGGTCCTTAACAGGTTTACACGAAAGTGACACGTGAGTAACCTGTTTCGACACGATAAGAAAAATACTATTTTGATGATTTTAATTTTTTAAACTACTAAAAAAAAATTACTATAAAATGCAATAGATATAATGAATATGTATATATTGTTTATTAATTATTATTCTATATAAACTTTAAATTTTAAGTTTTATTTATTTATTTATTTTTACAGTATATTATAGGCAAAGATTGAGATTAAAAATCATAAAACACATTAAAAATAAAAATATCAAGTAATATAAAAATACCAAACACATAAAAAAATTATAATAATTAATTTCCCGCCTAATATTTCAAGAGTTTCATCCATTTCCCGCCTAATGTTTGGGAAATTTTGCAGCCTATATCCATCCATTTCCCGCCTAATATTTAACCCAAAGAAACTCTAAGTGTTAGCTGATGTATCGTTTTGATGGGATACGCATCCTATGAAACAAATTTCAATGATCCAACCAACAAACTTGTTTATATATGCTTCGAGATCGCATACGCCAAAATTTGCAAAAAAAAAAAATATTCAAAGATCAAGAAATGAGACAAAACTTTTCAACGGTTATAAACGAAAAATCACGATTTAACAGTTGTTCTAACTCTGATTTTGATGATTTTTTTACAGCTATACTCTTTGACCCTATATGAATATAATGAATCAATTCGATCTTCAATTTAAAATATTTACATTGGTGGATACCACAAAATCTTATGTTATACTTGATAAAAGTATAAATAAACTCTCAAGTGTTAGTGAATTTATCATTTTCAGGGGATACGCATCTTACAAAACTAATTTCAACAATCCAACCGTCAAACTTGTTTATATATGCTTCGATATCGCATACACCAAAAATTGCAAAAAAAAAAAAACATTCAGAGATCAAGTAACGAGACAAAAAATTTTGACGGTTATAAACGAAAAATCACGATTTAACGGTTATTTTAACTCCGATTTTGATGATTTTTTACAGCTACACTCCTTGACCCTGTATGAATACAATGAATGAATTCGATCTTCAATTTAAAATATTTATACTAGTGGACACCACAAAATCTTATGTTATACTTAATGAAAGTATAAATAAACTCTTAAGTGTTAGTGAATCTATCATTTTGATGGGATACGCATCCTACGAAACTAATTTCAACAATCTAACCGTCAAACTTGTTTATATATGCTTCGAGATCGCATACGCCAAAAATTGCAAAAAAGAAACATTTAGAGATCAAGTAACGAGACAAAACTTTTCAACGGTTATAAACGAAAAATCATGATTTAACGGTTATTTAAACTCTAATTTTGATGATTTTTTACAGCTATACTCCTTGACCCTATATGAATACAATGAATGAATTCAATCTTCAATTTAAAATATTTACACTAGTGGATACTACAAAATCTTATGTTATACTTGATGAAAATATAAATAAACTCTCAAGTGTTAGTGAATCTATCGTTTTGATGGGATACGCTTCCTACGAAACTAATGTCAACGATCCAACCGTCAAACTTGTTTATATATGCTTCAAGATCGCATACACCAAAAATTGAAAAAAACAAACATTCAGAGATCAAGTAATAAGACAAAACTTTTCGACGGTTATAAATGAAAAATCACGATTTAACGGTTATTTTAACTCCGATTTTGATGATTTTTTATAGCTACACTCCTTGACCCTATATGAATACAATGAATGAATTCGATCTTCAATTTAAAATATTTACACTAGTGGATACCACAAAATCTTATGTTATACTTGATGAAAGTATAAATAAACTCTTAAGTGTTAGTGAATCTATTGTTTTGATGGGATACGCATCATACGAAACTAATTTCAACGATCCAACCGTCAAACTTGTTTATATATGCTTCGAGATCGCATACGCCAAAAATTGCAAAAAACAAACATTCAGAGATCAAGTAAAGAGACAAAACTTTTCAACGGTTATAAACGAAAAATCACGATTTAACGGTTATTTTAACTTCGATTTTGATGATTTTTTACAGCTACACTTCTTGACCCTATATGAATACAATGAATGAATTCGATCTTCAATTTAAAATATTTACACTAGTGGATACCACAAAATCTTATGTTATACTTGATGAAAGTATAAATAAATTCTTAAATGTTAGTGAATTTATCGTTTTGATGGGATACGCATCCTACAAAACTAATTTCAACGATCCAACCGTCAAACTTATTTATATATGCTTCGAGATCGCATACGCCAAAAATTGCAAAAAACAAACATTCAGAGATCAAGTAATGAGACAAAATGTTTCAACGGTTATAAATGAAAAATCACGATTTAACGGTTATTTTAACTCCGATTTTGATGATTTTTTATAGCTACACTCCTTGACCCTATATGAATACAATGAATGAATTCGATCTTCAATTTAAAATATTTACATTAGTGGATACCACAAAATCTTATGTTATACTTAATGAAAATATAAATAAACTCTAAGTGTTAGTTAATGTATCGTTTTGATGGGATCCGCATCATATGAAACTAATTTCAATGATCCAACCATCAAACGTGTTTATATATGTTTCGAGATCGCATACGCTAGAAATTGCAAGAAACAAACATTTAGAGATCAAGTAACGAGACAAAATGTTTCGACGATTATAAACGAAAAATCACGATTTAATGGTTATTTTAACTCTGATTTTGATGATTTTTTACAGCTACACTCCTTGATCCTATATGAATACAATGAACTAATTTGATCGTCAATTTAAAATATTTACAGAAGTGGATATATACCACAAAATCTTATGTCATGATGATCTATGAAAATTGAGGATTTTGTAAAAGGAATAACATGTAAGCTTTGAGTTCCATTGGCAAGGTTACATGGTCGTTTAGATTTTTAAAACCCTCAAAATCTCATGAACAATGTTATTTATTTTAGTGAAAAATTAATAAAATTAATAATAATTATTGTAGAAGTGTGAAAAATGTAATCACTCGTAATAAAAAGCTTTACAACTTTCATTAAGGGGTCAACTCCGAAATTTAGTATGCATATATTGATTTAGTATTATGTTTTACATTCTTTTGGTTCAAATTATGTTTTTCATTTTCATTTTTATTGATTTAAAATATATTTTTCTTAACGGGTAACGGGGCAGGTCATATTAACTGAAAATATTAACGGGTTGATTTCGGGTCAGGTCATATTACCCGTTTACTTTAACGGATATTACACGACACGACCCGTTAAGTTATCGGGTATGACACGAAAACGACACGAACACGAGAAACACGACACGAATGTCAGGTCTACTTCCCACATCTATTTACCTAGAAGTCGTTTAAAAGTGTTTTTAAAATGATTAAAAACGTTTTTTGTGAAAATATTTTTGAAACCAATTCTTGGTAAAAATTCAAGTGGATCATAAAAAAACACTTTAAGTACTTCCTACAATAAGCACATATATGATGTTTCTTCCAAAAAACACTTAAAAGTGTTTGGAAACCCAAAATTTTATTTTCACAAAAAGTACTTTGAATCATTTTTAAAGCACTATCCATTACCTGATTAAACAAGACTATTCATACACAGAGAGTTAATCTTTCCAAGGAATTTTTTTTATTGTGACCGGAACATGAGTTAACATCACGTGTTTTTATGTAAGTGGTGGAAAATTTTATTTTTTAAGTTATAAATTTTTTAACACACATATCCCATAATTTATATAGTAACACGTGATGTACTACCTCGCGTGCCGATCTCACTGAAAAATCTCTCATTTCCATGGTCAGCCTTTAAAGTTGCACAATCTCTCTCTCCAGAAACTAAAAGGTCATCCAATCTGCTTGTCCACCAACCATCCCCCTTCTCACCTTATCCATTCATCATCTTTCATCCCCATTCATACAAACCTCCCCATTTGAGTTCCCTTCATCTTTCCACCTGCACAAACCACTAACCCCATCAGAAAATAAGGTAACAACGTATTCCTCAAAGGGTTCTTATATTTTCTCTTAATTTTGTCTAAATATTTGTGGGTTTTTCTTCAGAAAAATTGCAGCAATGGCAGCAGCCTCCGCCACTGTCTCCCCAGCAATGGTTGCTGCCACCACAGTGGCCAAATCAAGGAGGAGGATGTCATCAGCAAACAACGTGACTTACCTAACAGGACTCAATGCCTTCTCTGGACTCAAAGCTCAGAGCAGTGTGGCCTCCCTTGGCCTCCCACGGACCACTGAGCACTCCTTTGCTAGGGTTGTGAGCTCCTTGAGAGCCCCATCAAAGGGTAACGGCAGTGGTGGTGGTGGTGCACTGTCGTCCACCTGCAATGCTGTTGGTGAGATTTTCAAGATTGCTGCCATCCTCAATGGACTCACTCTTGTCGGAGTTGCGGTTGGATTCGTGCTTCTTCGGATCGAAGCCGCGGTTGAGGAGGCAGCTGAGGCTGAGTAACAAGAGTTTTCAGATGTCTTTTTGATTAGGTTGTTCTCTGTTTGCATTATATCATCTCTCTTTCAAAAATACTTCCATTTTATATAGCAATCGTTAATATTTTCATTTTCTTGTGCATTAAGCCAAACTAGGAATAGCCATCCAATCTATTTTTTGGTTTGCTCAACAACCACATCGTAATTTGAAGTGTCAATAACGTATTCCTTTGTTTAGTGTTTCAGCTTCCCTTTCAGTGTCTATATTTTTCTCTTTCAACCTCCAAGGTTAGGACAACCGACTTCTCCATGTCCAATTCTCTTACAAGAATCACATTTATTTCCATATCGACAAATTTTACAATTTTTCTAGATCAAAGATTAAGGGCCGGCCCTAAAATTTTTGAGACAAAAAAGCGAAAACAAGAAGCAAAGCTCTAAGGTTCATTAAGGAAGCAACAAAAAGAAATTGGCTAATCTCCACACAAGAAAGAAGAAGGACAAAGCATTAAGCAACACATACATGTGATTGGCGCATGCACTCTAGTGGAATTAGTTTGGCAGAATTAGGACAAACTCACTAATTGTTTAAGAAGGAGGACAAACTTACTGATTGTTTAAAAATGTTACCTTTTTGGTTTTCTCTGTCACCAACGAAAAATTATTTCTGCACACTATTTTTCTTATTTTGTAAACCTTTGTTTACTTTTGTTTCTTGATCCTACTTTGATTTATTCAATCTAAAGGGTGAAAAACACATGCGAGAAAATGAGTGCGGGAAAATTAATTCCCTAGAGAATTAAGAAAATGTTAGTTAAGCATTTGCTACAGTAAAAGCAATTATTGATCACAAAAACTAAACATCGTCATGGATCGAACCCATGACTTATCGTGTTCCTCGAAAGAAAGGCTTGCCCATAATAACTAGTAAGTTTACTAAGGATATGCTTCCTTGAAATCATTCATGGCTACAGGGATATCTGCTCCTCTACTCTGGAGTTGCTCATACTCTATTGACAGCTCCCTTGGAATGCATTTGCCCGCAAATTTCAGGCATGTGCATCCTGTGAATATCAAAATTCCAGAAAGTATCCAACTAAATTGCAAGTTCGCCAATGCTCGTGCCCTAAAATCAGCCTCACTTGTCTCACAAGTTACCGCTCCAAGCATGCTATCACCGGTACCCTCAACAAAGTGGACAATGCAACCCTTCGGAACAAACCTAGGAACCCAGAGCATGAATCCCATGTTCATAAACCAGCAACCCTGAAAAACAACTGAAATCGAAAGAACAAGTGCTGCAGGAAGACTGGTTCGGAAACAAGTTGCTGCCAGAGCTGCCATGACAGAAGCAAACACTATGAGCTGCAGCAACCAGTGGTAATGTCCTTCAAGCCCAACATGGTCGGCAGAGTGGAAATGAAGTAGGAAAAGCTCTTGGCAGAAAACAGAGGCTACTAGTATTCCAACAACCCCGGATAGGATGTGAAGTGAATGAATCAACTCAGCACAAAGCGTAAAGGCTGCAAATATGACGAGGTGGAGGAACATGGTTGCATGCTCCAAGTTGTGGAGCTTGAAAGAGAATTGAAATAAAGGGAAGTCTATAACTTGCATGAGAATTGCCCATACAGAGAAAGATAAGATGCAAATGAGCTCCAAGTGTTTGAGTTTCGAAACCGGGGAATTGAATGGGTACCAAAACCTTATTGTAAAGTTACTAGGACCTTTGAGAAAATAGGATATGATAGTGTTGACGGTGTGCCATAAACCAAGGAGGGTAAGAGCAAGGCCAGGTACTATGTGTCCGACAAAGGTCCCCATTGAAAGCTAATCTTCACGGATCAGAGTTTTCCGTGCACAATCTGCGGCAGATAGAGCTTAATTCACAATAATCTCCAAACAGACCTTAAATACATGAAGTCACAGCAGTGGCAGATGACACTAAAAGCATTTGGTGAATGATGCATGTGTGTCCACAAACAAAATAATTCACAAAACGACACTCGGCTTAGTGTGACACCAAAATGGATAACTGAAAAATGGAAGTGTAACCCATTAGAAGATTAACGGTGTTACTTCAAGCCCACGAAAATTACAATATACTGAGATTCCAAGCTGATTAATTTAAGTTGGTGCTTATTAGTCGATGTGCAAGTAGTGGAGAGTGAAGTGGTTTCAATTATAGAGAGTGTGGAAACTAAGATGTTCCCACTTGTTAAAGATATATCTTTATTCATGTGGTCCTTATGGAACTAAGGAAATTTGTAAGATTCCTGGAATATTACCTTGCCACTAAACGAGTGCATGGAAGATGGTCGTCTTCTGAGTTCCACTCGTACAACGGACAGTTGAACTTCTCAGAACCTGGAAAAAACAACGGTTTGAAGTAAACTTATCCGTTATGTTGCAGGTCTTCTTTTCTTTACCTTTTTATATTTAAACTTTCACCGTGATCAAATTTTCAGATTTGATTAACTAAGGCATAGAACGCATCTATATCAAGCAGCAGTACCTCAAACCGTTGATCATGTGAAATCTAAGCAAATACCAGCAAGAACCAAGAAGTTGGCTTCGGTTACGACTAAGATATAGCAGTGACCTTGCATTTCAATTTTCAATTTATCCCAGTAAACCGAAGAAAGCTAACAATTCACAATCTAACTAAACTAACATAGTGATTGCAATTTTATGCAGTTTTTAACCTACTGTTCCAGGTAGAATTGAAAAGGAAACAGGAATCAAGGATGTGGCTGCTCCAAAATATGTATGAAGATCATCAATGAAGACTATCTAAATACAATAAAATTCTAAAACACATTTATTAACCAAATATGACAGACGTAGCTGTAAATTAACTTGATGACAGTGCTCTCTTTATGGAGATGCATGACATAATTTACAATCAAACGAAATTCAAGTCTAATATATGTACATGGTATAGCTCACTAGTCATGACCAACAAGTAAATAAAGAACGACAAAGGAAAGGTTAAATAATCTTACAGCAGTGCGTCCTTTGTGAACCCATTCAGTTTATTTCGAATCAACTACAACATAACTATTGAATAAGATAGATATCTGAGCTGAGTATCTGACGGGCAGAATTTTGGTTTGAGACCACCCTTTTCTCCTTGAAAGTAGAGAATGTGGACGGAAAATTCATGGATCACCCTTCCTCAAAAATTCGTCAACATTCCCAATGCCCTCAATCAGAGAGTAATATGTGCTGTCATTAGGTCTGATGCCTCTGCTCACCATTTCTTTCAGGAGCTCTTCCGCAAGATCGCCTTCTTGGTTTTTGCATAGGCCTTGTATGAGGGCATTGTAAGTTAGAACAGTAGGATTGAAACCTATACTCAACATCTCATCCCGAACTTTAAAGGCATCCTTCAAATCACCTCTTTTACTGTAACCACTAATGAGGGTATTGAAACTAATGTGATCAGGTTTAATTCCCCTTCTCTTCATCTCCTCCATAAGTTGACGGGCTTCCTCAACTTTCCCCTCCCTGCAACGCCCTTGCATTAGGGTATTGTAAGTCACTTCATCTGGATGAACCTTCATCTTATCCATCTCCTCCAAAAGTGCAAATGCACGCTCCATGTTACCATTAGCACAGTGACCATCAATCAAGGCATTGAACATCACAAGATCCGGCAGTATACCCTTTCGCAGCAATTTCTTAAACAAGTCATCTGCCTCCTGCATTCTTTTCCTTCTACTCAGAACGTAAATAAGTGATGTATAAGTTACCTTGGTAGGCTCTACCCTTTTAATCAACATCTCATCACGGAGGCTAAAGGCTTTCTTTGCATCCCCACTTCTGCAATAGCCGTTAATAAGGATATTATATGTAATTGCATCAAGATCCAAGCCCTTATCCTTCATTTCTTTGACCATATCATCAGCTTCAGCCATCTTTCCTTCCATTAACAATGCATGAATCAACATATTGTAGGTTGACACAGTTGGCAGTATACCCTTCTTCACCATCTCGTCTCTATAACCGAAAGCCTTGTCCAGGTCACCTTTGTTGCAATAACCATCAATCAAGGTGTTATATGTCACAGCAGTTGGAACCAGCCCAAGTTCCAGCATTTTATCGAAAAGCCCAGATGCTTCCTCAAGTCTTCTTTCCTTGCACATGCCGCTAATAAGCGAACCATAAGTATAAGAATCCGGCTCAACGCCTTTACCTTTCATTGCACAAAAGATCATCTGAGCCCCTCCAACTCTCCCAATCGAACAATATCTGTGAATTATAGTATTATAAGTGACAACATTAGGCTGAATGCCTAAAGTCTCCATAAACCCAACAAACTCCTTTGCCTTTTTCAGCTTCCCTTCTTTACACAACACATTGATCATTATGTTAAAGGTAGAAACGCTGGACTTGATCTTCAACCTAAACATCTCGGCATACAAAACCCACGCCCTATCCGTTCGATTTATCTTCAAGAACATATTCAACATGTCATTGCACGTCAAATTATTAGGCAAAACACCTTTGCCTTTCATCAAGTAAAAGCACTCAAGAGCGTCATCAGCCCTATTCATTTCACAGCAAGCCTGCGCCAGCAAATCAAACCCGAGGCTACTTTTTGCACCCAAACGCTCTCTCGAAAGTGCCAAAGCCTCAAAAATCTCCCTAACACCAGCATTGCCACTACCAACCACTTGCTTCAGGAGCTCCAAAGTGCGTTTTGGGGAAGGTTGGGCGACAATGGCGATGGCGAGGCAGCGGGTGTCGACATCGAGGCGGTGAAACTCGAAGTGGGAGATGAACTCGAGGACAAGTTCAGGGCTTTTGCGGAGGTCGAAGAGGGCGTCGGAGATTAGAGACGGGGGAATGTTGGGCGGAAGGTGTTCGATGAAATGCCACTGAGAAGAATGGATGGAGGTGAGGAGAGTGTGGTGGGTGATTGGTGGAGGAGGGGTTGTCGGGGCGGTTGGATGAGCGACGGAAGAAAGAGGTGCGGCGGAGGGAGGGTGGTTTGTGGGGAAAGTGGGTCGGAGCTTGTAGGGTTTTAGGGTCTGAGGGTTTAGGAGTTTGTGGGGCTTCATTGTTGAGAAGAGAGTGGAGAGGAGAGGCGCGAGCAAGGGCTCTCGATTCTTAAACGAACGAAGGCCGAGGCCCCACGAGGGTTAAAAATAGCCGCCAGTTAATATTACAATTTATTGACATTTTTAAACGAAATGTTTCATATTGGATCCTCGTCAAAGATAAAGTTGAATTATATTATTATGACAACGTTATTGTAAAACTTCTCACTCCTTCACTCTTTAGTGTAGATACTATCGCTTTTTAAAAAATAATAATAATAATAATAAGAATAATTAAAAAAAAAAAAAAAACAAACAAACAAACAAATCACCCAACACTAATTTTGTGGCGGATGCCGTCACTTCTTGTGGGCATAATTTCAATAATTTTCATGTTTGGGATGGCTATGTACCTTTCGTAGATGTCAATGCGTTGTTGTTTGACTCCAGAGGCCTTGGGTGTTCTTGGAGTTTTCCCCTCTCCTAATTATTTCTTCTCTCAAAAGGAAAAATTAGTGACAAGAGAATAAGCCGTAATATCGAGTAGAGTACTCTCTCAAAGCCCTTAAAAGAAAGAAAAAAACAAAATAATATGTGCATGAGTGAATCCGTTATAAGCATACATAATGTGGTCCATTACCATAAATTTTAAGTCATTTTTTCACATCGTTAACACAATTTTTACCATTATATGTGAAACTCATTGCTGCAATGGCAACACATTCCTGAATCCTGATACACTTGCTGAGTAACATGGACTCGAGAAAGGTACTTGCCACGGATGGTTGCATTTTGGGTGCTACTGCTACTACAAACGCTGGAGCAATAGGAGAGCGGCATTCTCGTTGTTTTGACATGGCGTGTTTTGTTTTGAGTATCGTTTTGGGCTGGTCCGTGTAGATGACGAAAATGGTATGAACCGAGGGAGGAGTAAAATCCAGGGTCTGCGCGAACTTGGCCGACAGGTATTCCTGTACCATACATTCCATACGCTGCTTGATTGCATGAAACTCGCAGTTTGGAGTTTCATATCAGTGCGTAACGAATTGATATCAAATTGTTTTTTCTTTGACACGTCTCATGATGAGAGAGATACTGATAGGATAATATATACACGCTTACATGTTACAATCTCTCCCACACCAGCCACGACGGGGTATTTGACTCCCCATCAGAAGAGTAATAATACATTGAGATCCAAACACACATTCAGATTCTTTTAAATGACTAAGATGATTTCTCTTTTTATGTTTACTAGTGTTAGAATATCACATTCTACTTCTTCCTTTGCAGGTTGAATACAAAAATATTACTCACCCTCAATTGGACACTTCATATCTAGTTAAATATCGAACAAAACTCGGGAAGAATCCTTCCGCCCACTTTGCAATCTCAAGATAAGGTCATCTGCAAGACAGAAGCATTAGCAGAGGAGCATTATAAGGATTACAGACTAGACCAAACTGAAATTATTTCAAGTAACCGCGTTAAAAAACCATGAGCAGCACACAATGCAGCAATTCTATTTGAAAGTGAAGATTTCCAATTTGATTCTCATCGTGTCAAACTAAATGCTGCAACACAACCTAAAAGGAAACTGAAGTATCGGCTAGTTGCAGTGCCGCTGCAATTTGTGCTCAAAATGCATTACAAATTATAACAGCCCTTGTTTAGAATCGTACAAAACTACCCAATACATTAGGTTTTACTCTTCATTGCTATAAACGGAACTGCGTTAACCACCTCTTTGCTTTCGGACAATCAACTTACAGAATTGGAATAGTACAATGAAAGAAATCCCCTAAGTCCACTAACCAGCTCATTTGGGAAAAATATTTGAAATGAGTGAAACTGCTCAAAAGTCATAGTTTTTCTCAACAGAAGCGAAAGGCCATAGATTATACAAACTGCAAGCAAATCAATTAAAGCCCACTGACCCAAATCAGGTTAGAACAACCTTGACTTAAATGGGCAGAAAACAAAGTCCAGACTCTTTCCAGTGAGAGCCAAAGGCCACACTATTAACTACTGTTTTACTTTCCTACACGCATGAGAAAGTCGAGAGGACACTTTCCCATTAGAGTGTTACAACAAGTAACAAGGCTTTCCAACAGGCGATGATCTCCAATACTATGCCGCAGCAACACTGACTTTAGCAATGTAGTCCGCCCTGACATACTAACTACAGAACCATCCACTTTTGCGTTAAGTTTTCACAGTTGAAAGTGCCAACAACTTAGGCATCATGCTCTCTGAACAAATATACTGTCTAAAAGGGTAGATTTGAATTTCCATTCAAAGGCGAATAGACTCTAGAAATAACACTAATTTCCTTGCAAGCACTCATCCCAAATCACATTTTTTAAAGAAGAGATGAAACAAACAGAGAGCTTCTTGTGGAGGTTTTATAAGGGCATCGTTTGAGCCCCATTTAACATGCATCCGAAAACTGACGGAAACAAACGTCTGCAAACCCATCCATCCCAGCTTCAACATCATAATGGGTATTCCCAGAAAATGGGAAACAATCTCGAAACTGAACTGACTAATTGATAATAAACATTATGCCCCCCAAAAAACAAAACCAACTTTTTATCTCTAAAAATAGGCATCACCCACCTAATTTGATAAACGGAATAAACAGTAATTCACAATAATTATTAAAAATAAATAAAAAATCTCTGGAAAGGAACATTCAATTGCTGAGTGTGACAAACAAGTATGATAATTCAAATTAGAGAACAATTTAGGGCAAAATTAACCTGAAATTTTACGCGACAGTGATTGGTTGCTGCTTGGAGGGCTCGAGGGGCTTGTTGCTCTTCTTATCCAAGAAATCTTCGATGTTGTAAATGACGGTGATGTAGAGAGAGCAGCTAGGGCACCGAGCGATCTCTTCCCCCAATTTCAGGTCGTCCCTTGTGATCTGAAACAAGTCCCCGCACGGGCACGGGTACGTGTACGCCTGCAGCTCCTCGTTCCACTCCATGTCTTCGATCTCTACGTCGTCGTACGACATAGTTTCAGCTTCTGATTCAGCGAAGGCTCCCCTGGATTTTGGATTTAGGGTTTGGGCAAGTATGGTACCTTGCAAAAGCTTAATTGAAGAATGCCAAAATCCTAATTGGAAATTTGATGAAGTCGCCTGGAAGATCAGCCGTTGATATGCCTTCATACAATTTACTGTCGTATTTATATCCGTCAAAAAGAAAAGAAGGAATAAGGCGGTGATTTTCTTAGAGAAGAGGGAAAAATGAAATACGCGGTAATTAATTTCAGCTCTGTGCATTTTCGTCATTCCATGTTTTTAGTAAGTACAAACATTATAGAGTAAATATCAGTTTATCATTTTCAAGTTTTGTGGTTTTTAATATTTGGTACATGAAGTTTTTTTGGTTCCAGAGTCATACTTAAAGTGTTAATTTTGGGACAGTCTCATACATCAATTAGTCTGGTTGTTAAATCAGTCGTTAACTGATGACGTGGTGCCCATGTGAATAATGATTGGACGCCACATGTCAATATGAGCCCACGTGGATATTAAAAAAATAATACAAATTTATAAAAATAAAAATAAATAAAAAACCATTCTTGTTCAACCTCACACCCTGACCCCCCCCCCCCCCCCCCCCGGGATCCCACCCAACCCTCCATCCCTCCGATCCCACCCAACCCTCTATCCCTTCTCTTGCCCACCCAACCCTTCGTCCCTTCTCTCTCAACTGCCAGCACCGGCGTCCATCCCACTGCCTAACTCTCCATCCACATCTAACGGTGGGCGACACACTCCACATCTCCAGATCCGAAAACACACTGCAATCCGCAATCTGCAACACACTCTACATCTCCAGATTTGGAAACACATTGCAAATCCGCAATTCGGCCTTGAAGATGAGAGAGAAATTGAGATATAGGAGAGAGAAAGAGAGAAAGTTCAAATCTGGGGGAGCTAATAGGCTTGTTGGGGGTCGGTGGGAGGTGAACCGACATCAGCTGTGGAGATAGAAGGGACGAAGGGTTTGGTGGGTAAGAGAAAGGATGGAGGGTTGGGTGGGATCGAAGGGATGGAGGGTTGGGTGGGATTAGGGGAGGGGGGTTGGGGTGTGGGTAGAAGAAAGATGGTTTAGAGGGTCAAAGTGTGGGTAGAAGAAGGATGGAGGGTTGACAGACGATGACGATTCGTCTGGGAGCCTGGGCGCAATGGTTGACGAGCTGTGAAGGCTGAGGGTCGAGGAGGTCCGATGTGAGGTCCTCCGTCGCTTCCCACAGTAGGAAAGAAGGAAGGGACGGGGTGAGGGAGGTAGAAGATGGGGTTTTTTTTTTTTTTTAATTGTCCACGTGGGCGTCACGTCATCAATTCACAGAAGTTCTAACGAAAAACTTAACAGAAAATTAACACTTTAGATATGACTCTGGGACGAAAAAAACTTCATGTACTATATGTTGAAAACCCGAAACTTGAGAGTAGTAAACTGATAATTACCCAACATTATAATACTTTAGGTCAAAAATATGAGAAGGCAGAGAGTGTATGGAGAATTCCACTTCGAAAGAGACTCATTAGCATTTCTCAATTTTTATTAGGACTGCAATTTAGAAAGGTATTTTTGATTTTGACATTAAAATTTTAAATCTAAACCGAAAATTTTGAATTTGATATTTTCTAAAAATTTGAAATGAAAACGATATTTTCAATAGGTTCTAGTACTTTTTAATTTTTATGTAATTCTATTTTGCCATTTATTTCTAATCCAATTGCGTATGCTTTTTACGTATAAGTAGACAATTATTTGTATATTATATAATAAGTTTAATTAAAATAAATAAAAAAGGGGTCTAGGCCCCTACCTCGACCCCCGCCTATACCCTAGACGTCTAAATGCTAAATTCCTACCCACTACCCAATAAAGAAAGGGTCTAGACCCCCACCTATACACTAGACACCTAAGAGCTAGATACCTACCTGACTAGCATCTAACTCATTTTTAGAACCTTAGATGAAATAACAGATTACTGGTAGAGCTCCTAAAAAAAATTAATTACAATTTTTATAAGGTAAATTACATTTTAACCCCTCAAGTATGAGGTCAATTATAACCTCATATAACATCTTTAAAAGATTACAATTTCATACATCAAATATGATTTAATTGCAATTTCATACAATCCGTTACATAATCTATTAGATTAACTATTAAGTGATGATGTGGCAGATATTGAACCTAGTTTTTAATGAGGTAGATGTCAACTTTGGGCCACGTGGATAAATTTTTTTATAAAATATAAAAAATTATTATTATTTAAAATATTTAATAAAAAATCAATTTATATTATAATTAAAAACTTTAAAAAAATTGAAAAGGGATCTGGGCAAAGCTTAGCCCAGTAACCCCATCTCTTCCTTTACTCCATCCCATCTCTTCAGTGTTTGTCTGCAACCAATAATCCCATCTAGGTTTGGGAAATTTCAACCTCTTCTTCCTCGTGCAACCTTCTTCCTCCTGCAAATCTCACGCATTGCAAGAGACTCCCTAAACTTCCTCCCTCCTTCGCCATGCACTAACACACTGCAAATCCCTACAATTAAATAAAAACCAGCAAATCCAAATTGAAATCCCTCGCTGCAACATTTTCCCAAACTAACCCAAAACCCATCACTCTCTGCTCCATCCTATAAATTTTCATTTTTTTGGCTTATGAGATGGAGAGATCGACGAATTTGGAGTGGGATGTGTACATGTGGGGTTTCAAAGAAAAAAAAAAATCGACACCATCAGGTTTCAGATGGGTTCGAAATTGAAGGACAAGAAGAACACCATCTGATCCCTCTCTTAGAGATGTCGCCATGGCAGAGCCGCCATCTCTTCTGTCAATCTGCCACCACACCCACCGTTTTCTCTTCCATGTGACGACTTAGGTTCCCTATTTCAACCACGGAGGCTCTCGATTTCAACTAATTCACAAAATAGGTTCCCTATTTCACCCACCGTTCTCTCTCCCATGGGTTTTAATTGCTGCGATTTGATTGTGGGTGAGGGTGTGGTGTCGAGGGTTAATGGTGATGGAGAGGCGTGTTCTTGGTGGTTATGGAAGATGGGGTTGATTAGAGGGAGAAGAGGTGTGGGGATGGTAGAGGAGTGGTGGAGCGGAGGAGTTGATAAGAGAGAAGAGGGGTGGGGTGGGGTTGATTTATTTATTTGTTTTTTCTTTTTTGACATTTTAATTATTTATTAAATATTTAAATAATAATAATTATATTTTATAACATATTTTATAATTTTTTTATCCACATGCCCCAAAGTTGACATCCACCTCATTAAAAACTGGATCCCATATCTACCACATCATCACTGAACATAACAAACAATCATGATACATGAGCAAGCATGGCAAGGCACTTCGCTTCATTAGAATCCATAGGATGTGTGCCTTGTTTGGCACTCTCTTTGGTACCATCCTAGGATCATATCCAAGTTCAACACCGCATAGCGACCCATGCTAGGTCAAGGGGTATATTGGGCCAGCATGATGTATGCTTTAACGTTTGGACGCACACTGATGGTCATATAACATTTACCTTGTCTTACCAGCAGGCTCACAACAAGCTCCTTCTATTGAGGCCATTCATGAGTCAATTTCATATTATATATTTTAACCTATTCTTAGTATGTTTCGGTAATTATTTTGGTAGAATTTTGACACTTTGATTTATATTTTCAATATTGGACATCTGACTTCCTCTAAAGCAAAACATGATCAAACAGATGAATTTTGGAGTGATTCAAATTGGATGACGTTTGTGTGTCTCTTGGCGTGTTCATATCAAAATGTGCGATTTTTCTACCAAGTGGTTATTTTCTGGCAACGGAATAAAGGAGCAGTGTGCAGTGTTGGAAAATGACGTTTCTAGGCTTAAATTGCATTTTTGGAGCCCAAGATGACCTCTGATGGGTTTATGGTCTTCTGGGGAAGTGTTCAGAATATTCCAAACCTTAAATCCAGCTATACTAGGCCGGTTTTAGAGCAGTTCTAGGGTCCAAAACGTGGCTGTTCAGATTTTAGGCGAATTTTACCATTTACTTTAGGGTTATGTTTCCTATTTTATTTAGTTTCGTAGGTCGATTGGAAGATCTTTTATTAGGAGAATTTAATTTCTGCTAGGTTAAATAAGCTTGGCTGGCTTCATTCTTAAAAACTTCTTCTCTGTGCGTTCTTGAAGAGAGGAGATTGACCAAGCATAGAGATTTTCCAACTTTTTCCATTCTAGGTGTTTTCGATTTTTTATTATTTCAATAAAAAACTTTATGCTTTTTATTATGAATATGCGTAACTAATTTTCTTTTTGCTAGGGTGAGGCCATGTGCCTTAGTAAGAATATGTAGTTTCTCTTTGATTTACTAGGGTGATGCAGCAAGCTAGACTCCAATTCAAACTCATTGGTTTTGTCTTGAGCTGCCCTAGGATATTGAATGCATAGGGGTACATCATTGTCCAATCCCGAGGCTGAAAGTTCCTGGATTGTTCGATTATCCATGATTGGTTCTTGCTTTTCTTCTTCAGTCGTGGCCTTTTCTTCCTCTTCTACTTCAAATTCTAGGCTAGAACTAGGTAGATTAGGTTCTGGCTCTTACCTCTTCCTTCTCAAAGTTCTTTCAAAATCGTCGTCAAACTCCAAGATATGTGCATGAATAGGTTGAGAACTTCGAGTCATAAACCAGTACCTAAACAAAATAAAACAAAACAAAACAAAATAAAATCAATAGCCAAAATTAAAAGACACGAAAACAAAAGAAAATATAGGGTATTAGCAAAATTGCTAATCCCCGGCAACGGCGCCAAAAATTTGATGTGATATAAACTAGCACTCAGATTAAACCCTTTTGTTGACAATTGAAGTAAAGATGTAAGTAGGGATCATTCTAGGCCGGAGATTAGGAGGGATTGCTAATTTATTTAAAACAGACTCAAAAACACAAAACTAGGCTTAAAAACACTTAACTAGACTCAAAGAACTCAAAACAAACTAAAAAGATTCAAAACAACACAAAACAATCAAAAAGACTCAAAACAGACACTAGGACTTACTTTGGATGACAATTGAATTGATTTTGACTCAAAACACTCAAACACACAAATTGGACACAATAAAGTAAAGGAGATTGGGTTTTTGAAGAA